TCCACAATCACTGTTTGGCACGGTAAGTAATATTTACAAACTTGTTTTTGATTCAGTGTTAAAATAATTGGTTTGTTATTTAAATTTCTTTTTGTTTTCAGTTTTTAAATGATCATTGTAAAGAAAATGTTGTCCCTCCAAAATACCCTGTCGATCGATAAAATATTTGAGCCTCAGCCATCAATATAAAAAATTGATTCAATGTCATTGACATCAAACAAGAAAACACCCTAAAATCTTCAAGGTCCAAAGGTGTGTAAGTTTAATTTATGCTCAAAAGTTAAATTCATTTATCACAGTGCCCACATAATGAATAAAAATTTTATAAATACAAGTGCTGTATAAATGAATCAAGAAAACAATTATCGGATGAAGAAATGCTCCTCAACCTAACTAGTCGACTCGATAACCGTATGGCAAATTTTATCCACACTCAAATTTGCCTCGATAGTAAAAAAGGATGATGCTTCAATTTTTTTAAACTTATTTGCCACTCCAAGTCGCAAAACTTTTATAAAGGTCTTGAGCACTTATATATGCTGATTTTGTTACAGAAAACATTTTTGATAGGTTTGTTTTATAAATATTTAATTATTTAAATGGTGTAAATGCATATTTGTTTCAGTATTTCCATGTTTATATAGACAAATTATATGATGCGGCGTTAATTTACTGTAATAATAAAAAAATAATAAAATAAATTGCATTTTATTTCAAGTTTGAAATTAATGCAAAAATATAATGAAGTAAAATCAAATAAAGATATAAATTGGCAAAATATTTGACTAGTTTCAAATCACAAAACAGTCAATAGGTTGTTTTATGATTTGAAACTAGTCAAATATGTTTCCAATTTTTTTGCTTTATTTGATTTTCTTCATTACATTTTTGCGCTACTACAAAGTTCAATTTCAAAAAGCCCGTTCGTGGAGGCCATATTGAATTTTAGTACCACTCCAATTTGATAGATGGCAGCACATCGAAACATAATTTTACCATTGAGTTTCCCATCTATTCACATTAGTAATCTATGGCCTTGCATGTCACAAAGCGAGTTCGGATAGTCAGGGGCTGGAGCAGGACAAATTTTAGGGAGCTTTTAAATGACATTTAAGCATGTTAAACTGTCACTAATCGGACTAAACCAAACAATAAAAGGGTCGTTTGGAGTTAAAATTGTTAAAGGAACTTGGCAGACCAAACGCAATGACATTAGGCGAGTTCGGATAGTCAGGGGCTGGAGCGGGACAGAAGCGGAGTTTTTTAGGGTGCCTTTAAATGACATTTAAGCCTGTTAAACTGTCACTAATAGGACTAAACCGAACGCTAATAGGGTCGTTTGGAGTAAAAAGAGTTAAAGGAGTTAAATGAACTTGGCAGACCGAACGCAATGATTGGTGGTGAATAGGGTGTATTAAAATGACATAATTAATGCGTCAATTTAAAAAAATGTATCAGAATTCGCAAATTGAAATCATGCTTTTTGTAATAATTATGAAACATTATAATGTGGGAAAGTTAATAAAAAATTATAGAAAATTTATTGAAAATAATTTGCTTATTAATCCTTGCAATAAAATTTTTAGTTTTTAGATTAGTTATTATGGAATATGTTTATGTTCAATTCATTCTTACAACATTGCTGTTGGCAATTATATCGCAATTTCCTTGTAATTTTTCTTTATTATTATAAAAAGCATGATTTACGTTGTTAAATGACAGAAACGGCCGCCATTTTTAGTCCATTTCCCAGCCTTAATATTATGTAATTGAAACTTTAATTCTATTGATGTAAATATTATATACGAAGAACTTTATAAGAACTGCTAAACGATAATAAATAATGTAGCATCTATACAAGTTTGTTAGTATAAAAGTAATGTTCCATGGTTTGATAATGACATTTAATATATAAAATAATGGATAGGGATAAAATATATAAATCACTTCAGACCACTCCTGGTGCTGATAAAATAAAAAATAGGAAGCATTTAAAAAATTGAGGAATGAAGTTGTAAATTTACTAAAAATAAAAAAAGAACAATATTATTTTAATAAGATTGACAGAATCAAAAATAATTCTTGACTAATGTGGAAGACTATTAAAAAGTTAATAAATATTAAGTCAAGATTTTCCAAATTTTATTGAATTTAATTTAAACAATGAATTCCAACTCGAACATAATGTTACTTAAATTGCAAGTAAATGTAATATCTTCTTTATAAATAGTATTACTCAAATAGTTGATAGCATCTTGACGAAAATAACAGGAAATGTCTGCAACTATAATCTATATCCTCAATTTTCAAATTTTCAGTTGCCATCGAGTGAATTGAGAGTAATTGTAAACTCGTTGGACAATAAATGTAGTAATGCCAAAATGTTGAAAGAAGTATTTGAAATATGTGGTCATGTTATCTTAAATCTAATTTATACTTTTCATCAAACTGCAACAGTACCAGATTCATTAAAAGTAAGTACAATAGTTCCATTTATTAAGTAACTAATACAATAAACACTTCTGAATTCTAGCCTATAAATACTTTGCCATCTATAGAAAAAGTTCTTGAATTAGTTGAATATGAACAAACTCTTCAACATATCAAAAACAATTATATTTTATTTATTAACCAATCTGAATTCTGCAAAAAATACTCTTGTAAAGTAGCCCTGCAATTCTCCTTATGTAACTTTAAAAAGGATATAGACAATAATAACTATGTAGTAGCAGTTTTTCTAGATTTAAGGAGAGCTTTTGAAACAATAGATTGCAATATTATAGAAAATTACCAGTTATGGCATTAATGGTTGTGTTTTAAATCAGTTTACTAATTATTTATTTGAAAGAAAACAAAGTGTAAAAGTTCATAATAATGTATCTACTGAAAATGATATTAAAATTTATGTACCTCAAGGTAGCGTCCTAGGACTGCTTACTTTTATTTATCTTATATATAAATGATTTAAACCTCTTTACTGATTGTGATTTTGCAAAAATATTTGTAGATAATTCTTTAATGGCTTGCTGTGATAATAATCTGGAAAATGTGGAACAAAAAATGAATCAGGCTCTAAACTCTGCTAATAAATTTTAATGTATGGATTTCGGTTTACCAGAGATTATACTATTTGACTATGGTGTTTTTATAGAAAATATTAAATAGTTTGGCACCAACTTATTTTCGAGAATACATTATATTATTTTATATAATATAATAGTACAAGATTTCTACCTTCTCTTGCAGTCTTTTTATTTTAAAATATTTATATATATATTGCAATATTATATTTTTTTTTATTTATTTATACTCTTATTTTTAATCACTGCTGTTTTTATGTACTATGTATTTTTTATATTTTATTATTGAATGTATTAGCAAATTGCTAAATAAATGACTTATATTAATTTTAGCAATAATATTCATAACTACTCTACCAGAAATAACAATAACTTGCACATAGAACAAATAAAGAAACATCAATGAATTCCTTGTTTTTCAAATGCTTTAAATATCACAACAAATTGCCATTTTGTATTAAAGCAGGTTCATCAGTAAGAGTTTTTAAAAATAAAATGATGAAACATGTTCATGATTGTTTAGATAAGTGTCAATGTTGATTATGTTCTAATTTCTTTTAAAAATTTTATTTGATGGTATTGATATGTATATTTCTGTATTTTATATTTTGGACTTTTGTAAGTTGAACTTTTTTTGTATATTAGGGTTAACTACTAAATATATTTCATTTCATTATTTTCCTGTAAAATTGTTAATATTAATTGAAAAAAATGGCAATTATTTAAAAAAAGTGAATTGTGTCAATATTAATAATTTGCACAAGATGTGGAAATTAAGTATTTGTTTACAATAGGGGGATACTTATACCATTGTATTTAGATATCCTAGTAGAACCTTATGGACATTTCATTGAATGTACTTAATTCTGTCAGAAATGTACAGAACTTTATCAAAATATGGAATATATACATGAGTGATTTTTATACTTCTTTAAGAATAGAAGTAAATTTAAAATATTTGACCCCAGAATAAATATACCACAAGAAATATCTGTTATAACTACCCTATACATAGATTAACGCTAACTGAAAAAAGTGTAAGTTATAATATCTTAAGATTTTATAATAAATTGCTTTCTGAAGTAAAGTTAATAGATAATTTATCAGTGTTCAAAAAAAAGATTTATAAAATTTTAGTAACAATGGAGCCTTACTCTGTTAATGACTATATAGAATACCAAATAATTAAACAATTAATAGTAAGCTTCTAATGGTTAGAGACCACATAGCTTAGCTGAGAGTTCAGAACAAAACTGGAGTATGTTTCAAAAAAGATCACAGGTTGTGAAGCAACCTGCAATAGCTCAATGCAGTACAGCCTCAAGTACAGCAAAAGCATAGCCAAGAGTTCAGAGTGAAGCCAGAATGTTTTTAAAAAGTTCACAAAGTAAAGGCCTTAATCATTTATCTAAGTTTGCTTGTTTTTCATAGGAAATATCTCGTTTAATAATTAAAGCATTGGTTTAGTATTGTGATTATAAACACCAAAATGAAAATCAAACATAATAAAGTAATGTTTTAAGTCCTAAATGCTATTTGGTAATATGATAGTTTAGATGGGTAATAATGCCCATGTACACACCATTGCTGCTCCGACTCGTTCTGGCAATCGGAATCATTACATAGTTGACAGGGTCATGTACAAATTTTTAAACTTAGGAAAAAGTAAATTTAAGTCATCAAATATAAAGTTAGGGGCAAGGCAAAAATATTCTTCAATTTTAGATTAGGTATATATTTTTTGTGTGAAACAGATTTTCCTTGCCCTCAAAATTAAATGTTAAAAAATAAAAAGAAAACAAGAATGGAAATCTAGCAACTAGGTAAGTGTAAAATTCAAATTATGATCGTCAGTGCATAGTGATGTAGACATGCGAATTATTACACTTAAACTACAAGATTACCTTGTTGTTTACATACCTGCATTGTTATCAAAATTTTCAGATACTGGATTTTGTGTACTGTTTTCAACAAATTCTTCAGCATTAACATCACCTATACCATTATTTCTGTGTACTGTTCCAGATTCTTGGGGTTGCTCTGGAATGTAAGAACTGTGATACTGTGTTTCTTGAGCTGAATAGTAGGCCTGAGATGCAATATTTTCAAGATCGTGTTGACCTTGGTGTTCATATTGTAAATGTTGAACTGATTCAACAGGATTATATACTGAATCTGATGATTGTTGTACTTGATAAGGATCCTCTGTTACTTGAAACCCACCGGAAGCCGGTGGTGCATTTGTAGAGTACGTTTCTTGAGTGAAATCCATCGTATTATCAGAATAAGCAACTTGTTTGTTTATATCGGCAACATTACCTGCATGTTCATATCCTTCAGTAATTGTGGAATCCATTTTTAATTCCTATTAAAATGAAAATATATTGGTATAATGTTAAACTAACAAAGTTACTATTTTAATCTTAATGTAAACATTATACAATATTATTTTATATTAAAAAAAGTTTAATGAAATGTGCTTCTAGTGTAAACATTCTGAATGCTGAATACCTCGAATCTTGAAATAAAATAGTAATTTTAGTTAAGCAAATACATCAATACCTAGTTTTTTCCTAGATAAACCAGTAATATATCGTAGATTTTCCGATTTACTGAATAAAATCTAAGTTTATAGACACAAGAATGCAATAAACACTTATTTCCGCAGAAAATTATTGTTAGTCGCCATATTAGAAATAGACCACCGCCACCACTATCAACATTGGCTTACGTCATCAGGATTTTTTTGACATTTGGTACGTTCTGCGTTTCAGTTAAAACAGGAAAGACAGTTTTTATTTTTATTTTGATTATATATATTTAAAAAATAGCAATTCATAACAAACCGAAACAGATTTATGTAATTCCGTTAAGAATTTAATTTTTAATTATGTTGTGAATGAGAAAATTCCAGATCATAAACATAAAAAAATTATTTTACTAATTTCTGAACGCATCGAGACATTTAGCCCCAAAATGAAGGCCATTTATGAACTGGGTGGAAGCCACGTTGTCGGTATTCTGAAAAAATGGTAGATTATAGATAAAAAAACATCGTTTTTGAATCACAATTCGCAAAAAAATAAAAATTTGTTAGCGGTAAATGAATTTTAAATATTTCTATTACTTTTTTTAATAGTAATAAAATTTCTTTAATAATTTTTGTACTTTTTTATATCTCAAAAATAATTCAATTTTTATTTTGTGGCTGTGGCTATATTTGTGATTTGGCAACGTGTTAAAAAATTTAATTTGACAAAAATGGTGTTGGTTTATGATTTATGATTTGTTGTGTTGTGAAAATAAAATATTTTAAATAATGCAATAAAATGGTGGATAGAAACGAAAAGTTTCTTAGCGAACTATTGAAATATCCAGGAAATAGTATATGCGCGGATTGTGCAGCTAAAAGTAAGATATTTTAATTGTAATTTAAAGGCATGACATCCATGCCACTGATTTCAAGTAAACAAACGCTATCTAGCATACCGAACCAGATAAAAAATATTTCATAAAAACATTATCAATTAAATTGTCGTAAAGGCTGTTTTATATTTTCATTCTTCTGATACCACATATCGCATTTTTTCGTTTACTTATTTTAGGTGAGGTATAGAAAGGGTTAAAAAAATGCAATTTTTATAAAATTTACTTATGTACAAAAACCTGACAAAAAATTTGTCACGGTATAAAAACTAGTCTTAATATATGTGGTGAAATAATCTGGACTGAAATTAATTAACTAAATCACTACAAATATTTCAAAATAGATGGCTTGATTTTGAAGAAATTGAATTCACATTGATAAATTTATTGCTCGAAATGAATTCCACCAATCAATATTAAATTTTCTTCTAACAATCTTGAAAGTGTCTTATTTGACAATGTAATTAGATTTCGTGACAACTAACAGTACTGTAAGATTTACAACCAAAACCTTCATTAAAATATTAGTTCGGCATTTGACAGCAAAAAATGACATATCATCATGTGTTTTGCTTGCTTTTTGTAGTTGGGTACAGGTAGCGTTGTTGTGATAATACTGATATTGATACTTTTCCTTTGATACCGGGTAATTTTGTACCTGATTTGCTTTCAATACTTTCCTTATATTAGAACTACTCCCATTTTAATACTTTACTAGTTTTGACATTACAAAGTATAGTGTAGGATCGTATTTGTTATATGTTATGACTTACCCTATGATCTTGTTTTTGTTCAGGTAACTGTCCTAAGTATAGGTATCGATACTTTGGTTCTGATACCCTTTTCAATATTTTTGTTTCGATACTGGTATTACAATTACAACACAAACCACGCCCGCCACTGGACACCAAAATAGTGACCATAAGTGCCCAAATTTTAAATTCCATATATACATTTTAAAGAGCAAGATATAGACTATCTAGAATAGTACTTTTTATAATTTTTTTTATCTATTCTTAATTTATTTATTTTTATGTTTAAAATGTTTAGACTTTGTAATTTGAACGTTCGTTCTCTTGTGGCAAATTTTGATGAATTTCTGAGTTTGGTAAATGAGTTTGACTGTATTGTTGTTACTGAAACATGGTTAGACAACCATGGTGCAAATACTGATATCATTTCAATTCCTGGATTCAATTTTTACTGACTAGATAGACAATCTAGAGGTGGTGGTATTGGTCTTTATTTAAATAATTATATTACTGGTTTATAATTAGTTGAGTTTAATTCCTCTGACTTAAATTGTGAGCAAATGTGGATTAAATTTATGGTAAATGGTACGTGTTTGCATTGGAAATATATATTGACCACCTAAAGGTAATGTGTGAGGTCTCAAATAGTTAATTTTTAACTCTTAATTTCTTAATTTATATTTTCAAACATTTGAACTAATGTAATTTCCTTTCTTATAATCTATTTTAATAAAAAAAATGTATTCTGTATATTTGAACTACTGAGGCTTCATTTATTAGAAATATTGTTTTATATTTTAAATTAGGGAAATATGCCAGTTTTTATGTATGGCACATTTGAACTACTGCATTAAATATCTGTTATTAATTCTAAATAATTATCTGAACTTTAAAATGCAATTACTTTCAGTTTTTATGTTATAAACATTTGAACTGCTTCAATTTGCTTTCCTTTAATTTCAATTTTCAATTCAATTATATACAATATACAGGATATAACAACGTAATATTAAACAAATACTTAGGCTTGTACTAAGTGACTTAACACTTGTATGTGCAAGAATGAAATGTAAAATATAACAATATAATTGATTTAAAGTTACTCTGAACAATATAATATGGTAATGGCAAGAAATATGAAAAAGAGTAACATAAAATGACAACAAATTAAAATAATTTCTTGAATTTAGAGAAATAAATATATGTATACTTACAAACTACAAAAGTTGAGCAATGTATTCTCTTTTCTCAAAAATAAAAATTTTACATTGCTCAACAAACTTTTTATACCCAATTGTGGTTCGAATCTTCAAAGGTAGTATGTTGAAAATTTTTGGTGCCATGATTGCAGTAAATCTCTGGTTGGCATCATATCTTCTAAATGGTACCAAGATCACGTTATTAAGATTATGTCTTGTTTGGTAGTGATGATTGATATAATTTTTGTTTTTAGATTTAAAGACAAATATACAGTTGCTAAGGTAGTAAAGACATCGAATATTTAGAATATCATGATTATATAATAAAAAGTTTGTCTTTAAAAGATATTATATGTAAAATATAGTTTTGGACAACATTCAGTTGATTTAATACATTGTCATAGAGCCCTCCCCAGGCAATCTTAGAAGCGATTCTACTAATGATTTATAAATTTGTATAAGTAGTTTTTTAGATAATATTTTGCGAACACAATAAAATTTTGGTATTAAGCGCCTAATTTTGTTTGTCAGATCTTGAATATGATCATTCTATATTAGATTTTTATCGACTCTAATGCCTAAGTACTTTATTGTATTAGTTTCTTTAATGGTAATATCAAATTCGTTCATTTTAATACAGTTAAAATTAGGTAAAGTATACAGTTTAGTTTATGTGTTTAGAAAAGAGTTATAATGAAAAAAACTGTCACATATATATTTGTCCGATATATTTATGTATTGTCTGTTTTAAATAAAATTGATTTACATTCAACTCATTCTACTGCATTTTAAAACGGTATTTGTATTACATTGATTGACATCAACTTAACCATCACATATCAGTCATCGATCATCGAGGCATCTCCGACATGTGCACACCATTAATGTTGAATTCATTTAACAAAATAAAAATTCTTTAGTCAAAAATACTTTAGCAATTTATTAATATTATATACTTACAAGTGCATTTTCCAACAGATCCAGAATGGGCATCATACAACATTGGTATATTCATATGCACAAGATGTTCTGGAGTTCACAGAAGTATGGGTGTCCATATAAGCAAAGTCAAGCATCTTAAACTAGACAGATGGGAAGATTCACAAGTGGAAAGGATGAAGGAAGTTGGAAATTCAAAGGCAAAATTGAAATATGAAGAAAGAGTACCTCCATGTTATAGGAGACCAAAAGAAGATGATCCACAGTATGTGTAATATTAATTATCAAATATAATAAAATATTAGGTGTTTTGATTATTCTCTTTGAAGTAGCATCTGAACTATTTTTGCTAATATGCTTTTTTAACCAGGAAGCTCAAAATTTCATGGGTTTTATTTGTCTTCAATACTGTAATATGACTTCAATTTTTTGCACCACTGGAAAAAAGGCATGTAACTATAAAATTTAGATTAACTAACTCGTTTACTACAAAAAAGTACCCTTGATTTGCTTCAATAACTTTTACACTTTTCGAAAAAAAAATCAGCATTTTACAAAATCAATACCAAATGAAAATACAATAACCTAACACAAAAATTATTTCTTCTGATTGCGCCCAAATAGATATTCTGCATTAATGCATGTTTTTTTAAAAAGCCTTATTTTGATTTAAACAATCTATCTAGTATATAAATTATATTTTGGTAACTTTAAATTTTGAAAATTTTGTTGAATATAAGCGTTATCTCTAATGTGACTAATTAGAAGTCAAAGTCAGGTATGTACTCCTGAATATAACAATATTTTGTCGGTAAAAACATCAAATACAAGTAGAGAAAGTAGTGCTTAAAATAGTATATTAATCTTTATGGTAGACTGAGTATATTGAAGAAAATTTGCAGTTAAAAGGGCACAAGGAAATAGCTATCTTAAAAAAAAAACTAAAAAAAAAAGTTGTATACATATTAGCTTGTCTCCACTTTTTGGATTTGTTTATGAATATGAATATCTCCAAATTAATGCACCACCTTAAATGTACCATAAGTTTGAAGCTATTTTTCTTCTGAACTGTTGATTGGATTCAATGATTTTTTTTCACATTATAGGTCTATTTCTAAGGAATTAGTGTACCAATGTTTTCTGGGAAATGACGTTTTACCCATATACAGGGTGTAAAGATAAATTTATGTTTTTTCATCTCATTTTGCAACACCCTGTGGAATTTATTAAAAACAAATACTACATTTTATTAATATTTTCATCTTTTCTCAACATTTTTGTAAAAAAAACCATCTCGATATCTTTATTATCAAAGATTATACACAACTTTAAATGTAACACGTTTTTATGGACATTTAAAGCAAACGAAAGCAAAGAAAACACTACTTACATAAAACTTAGTGACATTTAAAACAACTAAAACCTAAGAAAACCTAACCTAAATCTTTAACAAGTTCTCTCTCTTAAAAACACGTAATAACGAGTATTTCCGCCTCTATTTATAATTACTGTCTAATCAGAGCTAACTCACTTCACCCTGTTCATCTCACCTCACTTCTCCCCCCCTCTTATTTTATATGCAATATGTTAACTATTCAAACCTCTCCCCAGAGAACGGTATATAACCGATGTTATTGATACAGCTGAACAGACAGAATTAAGCATACTTACTGTCCCACTACCGGAAGAGGTGTAAATATTATGCGTCCAATTACGGCAGGCGAGATGAGAACTACTCGTATTAGTATGAAGCGGAGTTAAATATACGTCTTCGGACTGGAACGTTTATGCAATACAAGAACTAGAAGAGCTTTCTCTGACTTCTAATAAATTGGTATCACAAATGTGCCCGGCTGGCGTAAATATTAGATATAAATTTTTTTTTGCAAGATTTATAAAATATTAATTTTTATATTATCAGTGTTAGCTATTTCATTATTAAGCTATTGCATAGATTTTATCGCGGGCTTTGAGCGCGGCGACCGAATCAAGAAATTCCGTAACGAAAAACCTAAAATTGAACAATCGAAAAATCTAAAAAATCGAAAAATCTAATAATCTAAAAATCGTAAAATCGAAAAAGAAATTCTGTAACGAAAATAAACCTAACACCCCCACTCCGACCGGCACAGCGGTGCGGCGTTGAAAGCCGTGCATCGTCTAACGTCGTTTCAGTTCGGCCGACTTCGGCACGGTGTTTGTGTGCGTGCGACTAGACGTATGCGTGTAGACTAGCTGCCAACTGCTCATAACTATCTCTTTTAGACACAATTTCGGAAAAATTGAATTTGAAAATGAATAATGATCCACAAGAATCCACAACAAAATATGGGACCACCATTGGCGCGGTATTTTCCAGATATTTAGAGGATATAAAGTCTCAAACTTATGTTTCTTATTTCAGTTACCATAAATCTATAGTTTCAATGATAAAAATTCCTGAATAACCAACATGTATTGTAAGATAATAAAAATATTTTAAACAATATTAACTTCTCATTTATTCAATAAAAGAAAAAAATGTGTTTTCTTATCGGTCACCACTCTCAAAAAGTGTAACTTGAATTAATATCAAAGAAAAAACTTGAATTAATATCAAAGAAAAAAAATACTGCATAAATAAAATAAATAAATAATTATAATTGCATAAGTTGATAAAAAATGCTATGCAATAGCTTTACCGCGGCAGTCCCGGAGTGCCACACGTATTTTTTTTTTTTTTGTAAAACAAATTCAATGCCTATAAATTTAGCCGCAAAATATTAACCAAATAAAAAGGTGAATTTGGAAAACAATACCTGCAGAATTTATTGCAACTTCACTAGAAAATAATACAAGCAAATGTTATTTTGAAAGACTTATGAAATTTAAATAAAAGAAGTTATGAGTCATAAGAGCCGATCAGTTCAAGACAAAAAGGAGGCTTACTTTCATCAACGAACTCGCCTAAACAATGTTAGATATTTCATTTCAACAAAATAATCATGTCTTATTAAAGTTCTTCTTAGTAAACCCAACTCAATATCAAATGTATATAAATATGTTGTTCTCTTTCTTTCCTAAAATTTCGTCTTCATCTTCATCTGAATTTATTTTGCAAATCACAACACAGATAAAATATCTTTTGTAGCCTAACTATTCTTGAGTGACTACTTTAAACTGTAGTTTCAGTTAACTAGACATAGTTCACATGTCGGTCGAAACAAAATTATATTTAAATCAGAAATTATTACTTCAAACTTCATTTAACACAACGGTGGAATCGGCCTTTATTTTAAGAACTTTCATAAGTATTGCCTATTATCAAGGTCATACAGACCTCTACAAGTTATGCCCCTGCTTTGAGAATGATAAATCACAGATTTTCAAAACTTTATGAATACCCAGGGATTTACTTTTAATACCAAAGGAACTGCTAAAATTTTTTTAAATTGAATTGCCAAGTTTAAGTGTAACATATCTATGACCTTCATGATTTTTTAACAAATAAGTAAGCTTTCTTAAGGTCAATTGGCTCCATAAAACAATTTTTGACTCTAATTTGATAGCCACTGGCTATTCTCCATCTTAAAATGGTTAACTATGAGGAATTTGTTTGAAATTTTAAGGTTAAGTATTAATAGTCTTTTACCATATGGTTCAGATAAAGATAAAATGTTAGAAATAATTATTTTCTACAAATTTTGTATATCCTGAGAGATTAATAGTTAGTAATTAATTTAATTCAGAATTAAAGCATTTTCAGATATAAACCAAATTCTTGGTAAAGGAGGCGTTTGTGTTTAGGTTTATGTTTAAATGTTAGTTTATAACCTTTTAATCATGATATAATTGATACTGATAAATTATAAATGTAAAAAAGGACTTTTTAAGTTGTGTACATTGAATGTATCAATGTGTTTCATTCGAGTTGCCTGGAGAGGTGCAAGGTAGTCAAATTAGGTGGATATCGTACATATTGTTCACCAGACTGTCAAAATAAAGAAACAGATATGTTGAAGGAGATCATAAAAAAAAAACTAGAACTGATAATAACTAACTTATCAAGGGAACTTGAAGAAAATGATAGACATTTAAAAAGATTAAATAAAAGGTCTCTAGTATTTGAAGAAGACGTATTTGATAATGAAGAAAAATTTGAAAATTTATTTACACAAAAATGAAAAATGATGAAATAGAAGTTGATCTTAAAGAAAATAGACAATACATGGTTCAACTATAAGGACCCTTGAAGCAGAAAATGAAACATCAAAATCACATGGAACATTTAAGAAAAGAAATAAAAATATTAAGAGGTAGCAGACACACAGGTGTAACTGCAATATATGTAGATACTAAGTTAAATATAGTTCATGGATATTGTATTGAGAAGGTGTTGTGGATAACTGGAGTGTCCATTGTATTCCAAAATAAAAAATATTTGGTGTACATATTGTATAGATCTCCAAATAGTAGCATGGTAAGGTTTCTGCAATTATTTGAAGATTTGTTTCAGCAAAACTGCCGTCCTTTGCTTAAAAGTGGTATCTGCTAAAAAAAGAATACGGAGAAAATGAAGTTTAAAGTTAAAGACCACTTTTATGCTTCATAATAATTGTGATGTGACTATTTTTAAGGGCAGATATTTTTATTTTAAAAAACATTTGCCACTTTTTAGCTATAAAACTAAGTAGCTAACCTAACCTAACCCCGTTTGAAGAAGATTGTAACTCAAGATATGTCCATTTTCAATTCAGCCACAGGAATATTCAGTATTAATCGACTTCAAAAAAAGGAGAATGTTCTCAATTCGTCTGAATATAATTTTTTATGTATGTTCAACGATAATTCTTTACCATGTTGTCCTTTTTCTATAATTCTTTTTTGTTAGAAACAGGATATCTTAGGATACACAATAGGTTAGGATCTGATGATGAAATCTATGAGAGAATTAAACACAGTGTCTAGGTACACGCTAACTTGTACGCAATTCAAAAATTTATATACACGCGAAACGTCTTGACAGAGCAGGCCGTTGGTGTTTACGCCGGTCGTAGCTAGGTATGGATTAAAATTTTTTTGTAGCGGCGAAGCCGCCACCCTACGAGAGGTTGTTCCTTCGTTTTCTTGTTGTCCCGGCATCATTATTATTATTTTGGTGGAATTACTGACCATAAAGCTACAATTGCATATCTCTCTTTAATAGCCGAAACAGCACACAAAAAATCTTACATTAAGAAAATAAATCACATAAACCTAAAAGAAAATATAGAAAGCCATAACTGG